CCAAAAAAAAACAAAAAAAACACAAAAAAATTTAAAAATTTTTTTAAAATAAAAACACACCAAAAAACACCCAACAACAATAAAATCAGGTAACGCTTGATTTCTCGATAGGGCCTCTGATCTAACGTCAAGGCGTTCAGGTTTTATACTTTCGTTTCGTATAAACGTATCAGTTTGTCTTTTGAACGACCGTTTGTCCAATTATTGTACAATCCATCCCCTCATATAACCGAGCCTTAATTTTAAGATCTATATTGAATACGAACCATCAGCAGTTATTGGATAAGGATTTTACATGATAAATGTTGCCATCTTCATTATCTATAATTTCGTTCAGTTTCATCGAGCGCTGATCCAAATTAACTGGAACTTCTGCGGGTTGTGTGAGTGAAAACAAATATCACGAAAATTATGCCGTTTTCTCTCCGTTTATTTTCTTGGACTAAACGGTCACAAAACCTTTCAATTATATTTAAGAGACACTTTCTATTGCTGATGTAGACAAAAATCGTTATTTTCGTCGAGCTAGAAATGGTTTCATTATTGCGTTTAGTTGTTCTGTTAGAGTTTTGCTCTGAATGGTATCGACTTTCCTCCACAAAGCTGAACACAGAATAATCATTTGATCTGTACTTCGGATACTTCTCTAAACTGTAATTATTTGTAATTGTTTTACACCTTTTGACAAATTTTAGGATAATTCTATTCTACATGAGTTAAATAAATTATGGCCAGATATTGAGTCAGTCCTTGGGGAAGTCAGTAAGGAGAGAGAGAGAGAGAAAGAGAGAGAGAGAGAGTAGGGAAGGAAAAGAAGTAAGAAAACAGATCTGCCTCTGCTATGATGGAAGGATTTGTAGACAACAGCACGAGCTTGGTCGAGAAGTTGCCAAGATTTGTGCAGTTGCCAGGGTTACTTAGCTCCCAAGACTATGAAGTAGTACGCATTGTGATCTTGTTGATAATTGACCCCTTCCTCTATCTCTTCGGGATTACATCTAACGTCATCAACATACGTGTGTTCTGCAAAATGGGCACTCAAGACACAGTCAGTGTGTCCTTTCTTGCCCTGTCCATCTCTGATTTATGGTACCTATTCGCTCAAATACCGGTGACTGTTTGTTACCTCCCTAGCCGATTCTTCTCAAAATCTGTTCAAAATACCGCCGACATGCCAGCATTAGGCATAGTGGTCTCCAGATATTCCCAGATTCCCTACGATTTCTCGATTTTTATCGCGACGTACGTGGCAGTGACTCGCTGCTTCTGCGTCACCTTTCCTTTGAAATTCGGCGGTATCTTCACCAGATCTAGAACAATAATGGTTCTTTGTGTCGCTCTGGCAACGATCGTGATTTTGTATATTCCGATATTGTCTTTTCAGTGGTTTAGCTATCGCTTCGACCCGAGGAGAAACGTCACTCGTTTAACAGGGAGCTTAGCTCCGGAATGGGTTGTTTGGGACCCAATACACACGACCATTTTTAAAAACGTCTACATCAACATCTGCTTCATCACTTGTTGTATCTCCACCGTCATCCTCATTTTGAACCTCTCGTTCGCCGCCAGAACTCGGCAAAAAATAACGGGGGGTTGGGAGCACATCGGTACGAAACCTTCGTCGGCAGAAAGCCAGACCACTACGATGGACGGGACTGCTACTGCAGGAAAAGAAACCTCTAGCAAGGAACACAAGTCGATGAAGGGTTCAAGTTCAAAACCTGATAAGAAAACTCTTTCATCAAGGGACACGCAAGTGATCAAGTCTGTTATTTTGGTCACATTGATGTTCATCTGCACCCACATTCCAGTGGTCATCTTCGTGGACATCATCAAATTGTTTGAGCCAGAGTTCAACTATCTGGGTCGATATGCCAAATTGGTTCTGTCGTCTTTTATGTTGGCTCGGAGCGTGGTTATCTCCAGCAGTGCGTGCAACTGTCTTGTCTACTTCAACTTCAACACCAAGTACAGAGAGACTTTGAAAGCATTGTTCAGTCGCCGTGAGTGAGGGTTAGTTTCAGTAAGGTTTTACGGTGCTCGCGACTGCATAAGGTCATATGAGCGCCAAGGGGGGAATGTCAACAGAGAAGTCCAAACGCGGAATCAGGCTTACTCTGCTCACCTCTCCAGCCTCAACAGCACAAAGTCTGCTTCGACTAATAAGGAACCCCGGAAATAGCAGTTCACAAGAGAGTGACAAACGTACAAAAGAAGTAAAGGAAAAATGACGAGAGTAAGGATGAGTAAAGAAAAAGCAGCAGTTTTCCCTATGCTGTTCAGGCAAGTTATGAGCATGACTTTAATAAATCAGCCCATTTGCAATTCTGCTGTGCATAAGAACATGTTAATATCCCTCTTTTGGGAAGGAAATAAAGACACTTCAGTCAGTAGCACTGCCCTGGCGTGAGTGAGGTTGCACCAACAGTTGGTTGATGTAATAACATCGAAAAAAAGCAAAAGACGTCTATCCTTCTGTCTTGATCATTAAATATTTAGCTGTGTCTCTCTTGAATCCCACCAGTGGTGCTGTTTTCTTTTCCCTTTCTTAATCCGTGTTGCAAATTACTTGTTGTTGTTGTTGTTGTTGTTGTTGTTGTTGTTGTTGTTGTTGTTGTTGTTGTTGTTGTTGTTGTTGTTGTTGTTGTTGTTGTTGTTGTTGTTGTTGTTGTTGTTGTTGTTGTTGTTGTTGTTGTTGTTGTTGTTGTTGTTGTTGTTGTTGTTGTTGTTGTTGTTGTTGTTGTTGTTGTTGTTGTTGTTGTTGTTGTTGTTGTTGTTGTTGTTGTTGTTGCTGCTGCTGCTGCTACTATTGCTGTTGTTGTTTGTTTTGTGGGGGGTTTTTGTGTGTGTTTTTTTTTGGGGGGGGGGTTGCTGCTGCTGTTGTTGTTGTTGTTGTTGTTGCTGCTGTGGTAGTGGTGGTGGTGATGGTGGTGGCGATCGTGATTTTGAAGAAAAAAATCGTATTTGTGTTGTTTATTGCTTTTGTCTCTTTTTCAGTTGCACATTTTGATTGGGCTCTGGGCGTGATGCTGATTTTTGCTTTCTTTGTTTTTTCTGTCTTTTCGTATTTTCTGTTTTCTTTTCCCTTTTTAATCCGTGTGGTTATTTACTTCTTGTTGTTGTTGTTGTTGTTGTTGTTGTTGTTGTTGTTGTTGTTGTTGTTGTTGTTGTTGTTGTTGTTGTTGTTGTTGTTGTTGTTGTTGTTGTTGTTGTTGTTGTTGTTGTTGTTGTTGTTGTTGTTGTTGCTGCTGCTTTTGTTGTTGTTTTTTTGGGAGGGGGTTGCTGCTGCTTTCTTTGGGTTTTTTCGTCTTTTCGTATTTTCTGAGTACTTTTAAAAATAAACAAAAAGGTAGGTATAAATTCAAATATTTCTTAAGTATCTAGTATGACTGGGACCCAAAAAGGAAACAAGGAATATTTTCCTATGCAAAAATTATGACCCAGAAAGGGAATACGAAGTACAAGAAGGGGTAGGAATGTGAAAATGCTTTGCTTGCAAAAATGAAAATTCCGTTCACAGAATCATGCATATCAGAGGTTGCCAAATTGGATGCTAGAATGATGAAGTTCTATCTGACATTTTCGGCCGTTTTGAGTTAGATCTACTGAGACCTTAAGGTCAGAAACCAAATTCTAATGTTCTATCTGCTCTATCAAAATCGTAAGATTATTCGGAATCGTTATCAAAATATTCGTAAGACTGCGTCTTAAAAAAAGCTTCATATGTAGTGTTAAACTTTAAACTCAACATTTTTTTACGTCAAATTTCTCAAAAGTAGGTACCGGTACTGAGCAGATATATTATAACTTTGTAATTCTTGAGAAGCAAGTGTTGCTGGCTGATATGATGTTGTATAATAATATACATGTTGTATAACATAGCCATTATATGAATCAAATGGAATCTACCTATTGAATGATACAGTAGCGATATTTATCATTCCCGTTTTATTTGTGCACAAGAATGCTTCAAAAAGATGAAAGAACCAAAGAGATGTTATGTTGCAGTACACAAAAAACGTTTCGTCCTCTTGCCTGCCACGAGCGATGGCGGTCACATTACACTTCAGCATGCACACTTTGCGCTCCCCTCCATGCACCCATCCCCACCATACCCCCTCCACACACACACACACACACACACACACACACACACACACACACACACACACAAAACCAAAGAACGGGCACATTCCAGATTACATCGTAAATGTTCGGTAGAGCCACATGAAATGCTCTCTCTTTTTTCCAAATATAGACCAATATAACTTTACGAATGTCTCAATCTCAAATCTCAACAACCACGACTTTTGAAGCTCGCAGTTGAGTTCAGAAGACCATGTTACCATTCACTATAGATCTAAATTGATTCCTTCTTATCTTCTCCGGATATTCGATCTCAAACATCCTGATCTCGAGAGGCAATCGTACTGATAGGGAGTCCGGTATTGTCCTGTTCAAAGTCCGAGTACCAGGCCTATCGATATCTTCCCAGAAGTCACCCGGCTTATATTGGCTTCTCGTGGTTCTTGCTAGGCTCATAGACGGGCATCCGTTGGACAACAATTTATTTTTGGCGCCTATGCATTACTGGGCCGTCTGCTTGTGCATTGTGCATAGTTTATTCAAAGTCTTGTTTTTTTGTTCTGTTTTGATGTATGTTTTGCGGCGCTCACAACTGTCGAGAAGACAAAGAAGACAAATAACAACAACAACAACAACAACAACAACAACAACAACAACAACAACAACAACAACAACAACAACAACAACAACAAAAGCAACAACAATATCAACAGCAAAAGCAACAGCAACAACAACAACAACAAAAGTACAGTAGGAATCACTTACTAAAAGGTTTTTGTTCAAGTCTACCCACCCACAAATGTAATAATGACTCTGTCTCTCTAACTGACCGTCCCAGAAAATCTTGGGACCCCCGATAGCATGCTATAGATATGCGGAAACGACAACTCTTGAGAGATTTCGTTGACTTATTCTACCACTCGAGTGCTGATAGCGCAGGAGGAAACGGTGGTATCAAACGGGGTGGTGGTGTTAAGGGGTAGGTTTGGGGGGGGGGAGAATTGGGCGGGGCGAGGGGAACATGGGTTTGGGTTAGGGGGCAGGAAAGGAGGGGGAGAAAG